GGCGCGGGGCCGGCGGTTCACCCCCGTCCAGGCCCGGAGCCGGGGAGGCGCGCGGCGCGAGCTGCCTGGAGCTCCCGGTGCCCCCGCCGGAGGGAGGGCCTCGCTTGCAATGTCCACAATCTCTGTTTCCCGGCAAAAGGAGCCACTAAGGGAAATTGCCCACATCTGAAATGCTGACTTTTTCATTTTCATTGTCTGAGGACAGAAATAGGCTTCCGAAGTTCAGCCCAGAGACGCTGGACATGTTCGATTTCCTTTTTATGCCGTGGCCATCCGTGATATTTAAGCTGCAGGTTCTGTTTTAGGTAGATTTGAAAGCAAATGTCCCTGGGCACCGCCCCCACCTGTGAGAACTCCTACCAGGGCCTGCCTTGGCTGAATCAGCGTTGGAAATTTAATTTCAAAGGCCGGTTGTGAGCGCACACCGGGCGGAGTTGTTCAGCTGGGCAGGTTGGCCCCTCTCCCCAGGTCCCTCCGTGGCCACGGTAGCCACGCCTCTGCTTGGTGCGGCGTGGAAATCTGTCATCAGCAGGGAATATTGGTCGCTGAGTTATTTTCCGAGTGGTAATCCGAGAATAAAACGGCAGGTCTCAGCACTCATCGCCACTTAATGAACCTGTTTGCCGGGAGCCCACCTGGTGCCTGCTCCTAGTTCTGGGGGCCGCTCTGTCCTGAGTGGCCTGGGGTCAGCACAGTGTTTGGGAAAAGCCCCCTGAGAGGTAGGCTGGGAGAGGACAGGACAGTCGGTCCATGGAGGAGGCGGAGCTCCCGTCAGAGGTGGGAATGCTGAGCTGGGGCCCGGTGAGACCCTGTGCACCGGTGGGCCACGGACGTTTAGGGCAGATCTTTTTCTAACATGGAGGTGGTCAGGAAGGAAGGGAGAGAGAGAGAGAAACGTCAATTTGCTGTTTCACTTATTCATGCATTCACTGGTTGCTTCTTGTAAGTGCCCTGACCAGGAGTCGAACCCACAACCTCAGGATGACATTCTAACCAACCGAGCCACCGGGGCCATGCTGATGCATGTTTAAAGGGCTTGAAAGGCTCCTGGTTTCTACAAGTCATGCCTGCACTTCTTTAATTTTGCTAATAATTAAACTGGATGTTTCCCTAATTGCTGGCTTTCCCCTGAGTCCGCGGCTCGGTGCACACGGAGGCCGCTGAGCTGGGACTTCCGACAGTGGGAGCCCAGCCACGGCCCAGGTTAGGGAAAAACTGTCATTTTTCATTTAGGCTTTCAGGGCAGCATTATTGGGAGTTTATTTCAACATAAAATGCAAAATGGTCCTGGAGGACTCCTTTTATCGTGTTTAATTATGGAAGAAAGTTTCAAGGGTGTGTGTACACGGAGGAAGGAGGAAGTGAGGCAGAGAGGGAGACACATGGGGCGGGGGTGGAGTCCCCCCGTGGTTCTTTGTGTATAAACTTATATCCAACATTGTATTGGTGAAAGCAGGTCTTTCCCACCTGGGATCTGTGGGTGCATTGGGGGTTGGGGGAAGGTCCATGAATTCCCTAAAACTGTAGGTCATATTTTGCAAATGTTCTTCTGTGCGTTTTTCTGGGTTCGTAGCTTCTTTGAAGTTTGCGTCCAGGGTTGTGAGAGGTTAAAAAAAAGATTAGTGGAAGGTGTAAAACCCCAGAAGCGGCTTTGGAAAAGCGAACACACTCCTGGATCTCAGTTTATCTTCCTGCATCTGAGGGCTTGATCCGATGACCTTTAGGGTCCGTTCATTAATGTTAGATGAGCATTAATATCCTCAGAAGCCTTCTGATTACCTACCTCAAAAGGCTGCTAGAGCGTAGCGTGCACTTAGCACAGGGCCTGGCATCTAATAAGCACCCAGGCCATGTTATCATTGTTTTTCCCGGTAAGCCTGGCACAGGCATCCCTTCCCTGTCCCTGGACCAGCCCTATCACTTGCAACAGTGTTGGATACAATGTATCTGGGGTCTTTGAGAACAAAGTTGCCGCCTGATGGAGGCGGCCCCCTCCCTGTTTCCAGGCCGCTGTGTTTGCTTCCTGCAGGGTCTGCGCTTGGCGTGTCTTTTAGCCCAATATTGGCAGCCGATCGGAGCCCTACAAGGAGTTCCTTCCATTGCAGGAGTTTTGCTTTGGTGTCAGAGGTTATTAGGAAGGAAATGTAACTGTGGATGAGAGAAGAGCTTTTGACAACTGGAAGCAGACTGCCTAAGGCAGCTCCAGTTTAGGCCGTGGTCGTGCTGGGGGGC